TTGGGTTTTTTTGAATGTCCAGAGGACCAGATTTAACTTTTTTAGATTTTTCTACCTGGATTATTGAGCATGCATCAGGATATTTTGTCACCACCAGGTAGTGTCAGTGGACAGCTCCGCTCCTCTCTTCACCCGAGTGTCCAAGACTTGTGGCCACAGATCAGATGAGACGACAACAAAGTCGATCATCCAACTGCAGCCTAGCATGTCCTGGTGCCAGGAGCACATATAGACACCCTTATGCTTGAACATGATGTTTGTTATGGACAATCCATGACGTGCACAGAAGTCCAATAACAGAACACCACTCAGGTTCAGATCAGGGGGGCTGTTCCTCCCAACCACACCCCTCCAGATCTCACTGTCATTGCCCAAGTGAGCGTTGACGTCTCCCAGTAGAACAAGGGAGTCCCCATGAGGCACATTCTCCATTACCCCCTCCAAAGACTCAAAAAAAGGTGGGTAATTTGAGCTGCTGTTTGGCGCATGAGCACAAACAACAGTCAGAACCCATCCCCCCACATGTAGGTGGAGGGAGGCTACCCTCTCGTTCACCGGGGTGAACCTCAATGTACAGGCACCAAGATAGGGGGCAACAAGTATGCCCACTCTTGCTTGGCGCATCTTGCCAGGGGCAACTCCAGAGTGGAAAATTGTCCAACCCCTCTCAAGGAAACTGGTTCCAGAACCAGAGCCATGGGTTGAGCTATTTCTAGCTGGAATCTTTCAACCTCACACACCAGCTCAGGCTCCTTTCCCACCAGAGAGGTGACATTCACCACATTCCACGTCCCAATAGCCAGCTTCTGTAGCCAAGGATCAGACTGCCAGGGTCCCCGCTCTCGGCCACTACCCATCTCACATTGCACCTGACCCCTTTGGCCCCTCCCACAGGAGGTGAGCCCATGGGAAGGGGGACCCATGTCTGCCTATATATATAGGCAGTACAGTGGCACAACGGTGGTAAAGCCGCTGCCTTTCAGCAAGAAGGTTGCTGGTTCAAATCCCGGTCCAGGAGCCTTTCTGTGTAGAGTTTGCATGTTCTCTCCGTGCATGCATGGGTTTTCTCCAGGTACTCCAGTTTCCTTCCATAGACTAAGGGCAGCTGTGGCTGAGTGGTTAGAGCAGTCGTCCTCCAATGCAAGAGTTGGGGCTTCGATTCCACCTGCAGTCCCATGCCAAAGTGTCCCTGGGCAAGACACTGAACCCCTAATTGCCTCCGATGTTTGTCCCATCTGTGTATGAATGTGATCTAAAGCACGGATTAGTCTCTTTAGAATGATTTGTTCTATTAGCTTTGTTGAGCTCTAGTAGCATGCTGTATGAATGGGTAAATGAGGACCCATTGTAGTGTAAAGAGCTTTGAGTATCTGGATAAGATAGAAAGGTGCTATAAATACAGTCCATTTACCAAAAACATACATGTTAGACTGATTGGTAACTCTAAATTGTCCCTAGGTGTGAGTGAGAGAGTGAATGGTTGTTTGTCTCTATATGTCCCTGTGATGGACTTGCGACTGTCCAGTGTGTCCCCCACGCCACGCACAGTGATTGCTGGACATGGGCACCGGCGACTCCCGTGACCCAAAATGGAATAAACGGGTAAAGATAATGGATGGATGGATGGACTTTTTTTTTCTTGCCTGAGAAAAAAATCCTTTAATATTAAAAAAAAAAACACATCACACAAACAAGCAAATATTTATGTAGACAACATTCTGCAATCGGAGACGAGAGCGGTCAACAACGCTTATAGATGCTCTTGAGGTCACTGTAATCAGTCAATGTCCTCCGGTGAGATCCATAAACATTCTCGAGATATGTTGAGAAATGGCCAAGAATAACCTCTGAGAATCCAAGAGTCCTAAAATGATGGCACAAAGTTTATTCAGCTGGGTTTCATCTGGTTATCAGTTGGAAATTCGTCAGGGAGGGGGTGGTGAGCGTCAGACCACATTTTCTCCAGGCGAATTCAGATAAGGTGGCCTTCAAGGCCAGCCAAGGGAACCAAAATTTGGATAAACACACAGTTGTTTTGGGGACAGGCAGAACTTAATGACAACTACCTTGAGTCTGTGTTGGTCAACTCGGTTCTGAAATGTCCAAAATACATGGCCACACCGATGGAACGTGACTGAGTAAAATCCCCAAGATCTGATCCATTCAGCCCAAAGCATTTGAGTCTGGGTAGTAGAGACACGAACAAAGCCGTCATAAAGGCAATTAGCATGATCGGGTCCAAATTTGCTGCCGACGACTTTCTTGATTGTAGATAAAACCAGCCAGCCGAATCCAAAATAGCAGGAACCAGTTATCGAAAATCCAATTAAATATGTGTCCTTAAAATCCACAGATGGCAGCAGAGATAGACACATCATCAAAGTCTTCCAAGTCGAAGAGATATCTAGCTGCGTGCGTGCCAACAGGGCAAATCGGCTCACCTAAAGCCTGTCTTCTCTTCGAAGAAATGTTGTAAATTGAGTTGAGGGACCAACTGGTCAAAACAGTTCATAATTATGATTCGGAAGAAATGCAAGAGAGTCTCACAGCAGTTTCACAGACAGACAGAGCAGCAAAGCAAAGCGGAGAGGGAGGGAAGCATCCGAACTCGTCGAGAGCAAGTGGTGAAGTGTATATACATATACATATATATACATATATATATATATATATATATATATAATCATCACTTTATTTAAAAAGCACCTTTCAGGACCCCAAGGACACTTTAAAGTAAGAAATATATCAGAAAGATTGTGTAAAAGCAAACAACAAGCACAGTGCAAAGATCAATAGGAATAAATTGAAATATAAAATACATAAATAATATAAAATACATACAGAATATAAAATACATAGAGCAAAGTTAAGGATAAGCGAGTCTAAAGAGATGTGTTTTCAGAGCAGTCTTGAATATAGAAAGAGAGGTGGTGTTTCTTAAGTCAGGGTAGAGAGTTCCAGAGATGAGGAGCAGAGCAGGTGAAGGCCCTGCTCCCCATGGTGGAGAGGAGGGCAGAGGGTACATGGAGGTGTAGTGAAGAGGAGGATCTGAGAGAGCGACAGGGAACGAAGATGTGTAGGAGGTCAAATAGGTACGGAGAGGCAAGGTTGTGGATAGCTTTGAAAGTGAGAAGAAGAATTTTGAAGACAAGGCGTGATTTAACCAGGAGCCAGTGGAGCTGCTGCAGGACAGGAGTGATGTGGTTATAAGAGGAGGTTTGAGTGATGACACGGGCAGCTGAGTTCTGGACCAATTGTAGCTTCTAGACCTAGAGGAAGGAGGTAAATGATGAAGAGGAGGGGTCAGAGGACAGAGCCTTGGGGGACACCCGTGGAGACGGGGCAAGACTGGGAACTAAAGGATTTAAGCTGAATGAATTGAGTGCGGTCAGAGAGATATGATTTGAACCAGTCTAACGGAGTACCTGAGATGCCAATGGAGGTTAGTCTGTTGAGGAGGATAGAATGACAGATTGTGTCGAAGGCAGAACTTAGATCAAGTAGAATGAGGATAGACAGAAGAGCAGAGTCAGCAGCAAGAAGAAGGTCATTAGTTATTTTTATTAGAGCTGTTTCAGTGCTTTGGTGGGGGGTGAAAACCAGATTGAAACTCCTCATACATGTTATTGTTGGATAGGTGAGAGTGAAGTTGACTAGCAACGACTTTTTCAAGAACCTTGGAAATAAAGGGCAGCACGGTGGCGCAACTGGTAGAGCTGCTGCCTCTCAGCGAGCAGGTCGTTGGTTCAAACCCCGGTCCAGGGGTCTTTCTGGGTGGAGTTTGCATGTTCTTTCCATGCATGCGTGGGTTTTCTCCGGGTGCTCCGGTTTCCTCCCACAGACCAAAAACATGCATGTTAGGCTGATTGGTAACTCTAAACTGTCCCTAGGTGTGGAGTGATGTGGTTATAGGAGGAGGTTTGAGTGATGACACGGGCAGCTGAGTTCTGGACCAATTGCAGCTTCTGGAGAGATTTGTTGGGGAGGCCATAAAGAAGGGAGTTGCAGTAGTCAATCCGAGAAGTCACAAGACTGTGAACAAGGATGGCTGTGGAGCGGGGTGTGAGAGAAGGGCGGAGACGGTTAATATTTCTGAGATGGTAATAAGCAGACCGAGTGACGTTGTTGATGTGTGACGTGAAGGAGAGAGTGGTGCCGAGGATGACACCAAGACTCTTGACCTGAGGCGAGGGGGATAGCAGGGAGTTGTTAAGGGGGATGAGAAGATGTTCTGATTTTGAAATAAGAGTTTTTGGTACTGACAAGAATGATTTTTGTTTTGTCACGGTTTAGTTTTTCCAGAAGTTCAGGAGATATTTATTTTGCTAACAGTCACAAACCCACTGGAATAATTATATAATAACTCAAAAGATGTAACCAAATATTAGGTTCTTTTACCGTGTTTGTCTGTGTTTTGCACCACTTCTTGATCAGACTCTTGTTCCGTGCAGTGGGGTCACCCGTCGCAATGCCAGTGATTACAGACTTGTCCAGCTAAAAGGAGAAGCTGTCTTCAGAACAATGCATACTTTTTAATCTGAGTTACGCATGTTTTGTTTTTTGTTGCTAGTTTGAGTGTTACCTGGATGATAGCGTTGGTGAGGGGGTCTGTGATGACATTCAGCAGGTCAGGGGCGTCCTCTCCTGTCTGGATGTTAAAAGACTCGACAAGGAGGAGGGTGAGTTTGTACAGAACCCCTGTGGCTGCCTCCAAGGGCAGAAGAACCAGCACCGACAGCCAGTTGAAGAAATCATGAACTGTAGCACCGGCAAAGGCTCTGAAGGCACAGCAGACCACATGTGAACATGTTGCACTGTTCCTGTGGTCTTTCTTATCATGGTGGCTCTGGTTTACCTGCGGAACTCATTTCTGTCTCCCGCCTGCATCACTGCCACGATGGTGTTGGTGACAGATGTTCCTATGTTGGCTCCCATGATGATTGGTACAGCAGACTGAACTTCCAGCACTGAAGAACAAAAAGAGTACCCAAACCACGGCCGTTAAAGAAATAGTCTGATCATTTTTGAAGTAATTTTCTGTCAGATAATTATCAGAAATAATGATTTTGTCAGCTGTGGAGAAAAGGACAAAAGTCTTTGTCCATGTTATCTAAGACTGTTGTTTATTTATTTATTTGTTTATTATTATTTTTCTGGTTTATAAACAACTCTTTCACGAAAATGACAAGCTGGAAAGTTACTTAAAACAACTTACTGGGCTTATTGGTAAAATATGCTAATAATAAAAAAATAATAATAAAAGGCATGCTTCTAGTAAAAGCCTGTTATCTGCTCTGACATTTAAACTCATTTAGGTTCTAAATAACCAATAAATTAATGTTTTATGTTGTTTTTTTAAATAAATTAATATTTTATGTATTTCTTTTTAAGCTACTTATAATGCTCATTTTCAACAAAATTGAGAAAAACTAAAATGGTTCAACCTGTTTTTATATCAAAGTGTTTCTTGTTGTCAATCTTCTTAGAATAAATACATAAATAATAAATCAATAAATCCTCACAGAATAAATACAGTTCCATAAGGCAACAGAAAATGTTGTACAGGATCAAGCATCAGTTACATTTTATAAAATGTTTGATCTTGATTTAAAGGTCAGGCAGGTTTAATTTAGTAGGATAGATGGTTGAAAGCTTGCAGACCCCTGGGGAGTTCTGCCCTTATCTCCAAACTCTGTACTCCCTGATGTCACAGCTGATAAGGTACTAAGTACTGATAATACTAGACAGAACCTGACATCATAAACGACCGGACTATCCCTTTAACTGCCAGGCTTTGATAATCCCAGCTCCTCAAAAGCACAGAGTTGCTGCATCATGCTTGTACTTTACTCAGAGCTGGATGCTTTCAGGGTCTCAGTGTGCGAGTTAGTCAGCTTACATCCAGAGGACACCATGCTGACCACAATAGAAGAGGAGGTGCTGGAGCTCTGCACCAGCACTGTGACTAACACCCCGATCACCAAGCCGGCCACAGGGTTGGACAGCACAGCATTGTCCTGGAAGATGTCCCCAGCAGCTTTACCTGCATACACACAGCTTCAGGTCACCAACACTTCACTCCAATACAAAAGCATCTGTTTGGCCGGCTTTAGTTGCTGGCATGTACAGTCAATGTGCAAAGATGTGGCTCGTGAGCCTACAGTATTAGATGCAATGAGATGTTTTCACCTCCCACTAGCTGGAAAGCCGAGCTGAGAATATCCAAGGAGCAAATAAACAGGTAGAGTAATCCGAGCAGCAGAACAAGCTTCACAACAGCAGTCAGAACTCTTATTATCTTTCCTTTTGTGTCAAGATCTGTAGAAAAAACATAAAACACTGAATCACCTGCTGTGAATGATGATGGTGGCTGATGTCTGTTTGTGCATTTAGCTTCGAAAACATCTCCTGCACCACTGAACAGATTTGATTGAAACTGCAATTAAATATTATTTTGATAGACATCAACTGATTTGCCCAATTGAAATGGCCACCACAGCTCATCAACGTCGTCCACCCATTATCTTTATCTGCTTCTTTGCGGGGGTCACTGGTGCCCATGTCCTGCAGTCACTGTGAGAGGAGGACTCTCCAAACTCCAGGCAAACACGGCGCAACAGTTTGGCTTTAAACCTCGGCCTTAACCCCTGACATAGTTTAAACTCCAACACAGATTACAATGAAAACCTTAGAATGTAATCATCAGATGTACATCTACAACTATTTAACTTTTGTGAGTTAATCCAAATGAATATTGTTACTACAGTCAATCGAGCATGTTTAACACAACAAAGGGCAACATTCAGTCAGATTTACAGCCACTGAGCTCTAACTGAACTTGAGGTTTTGTTTTTAACAGCAAATAGGCTCTTAGTGGTAACAAATCATGGATTATCTACAGTGTTACCTGTCACTGCACAAATCATGGATTATCTACAGTGTTACCTGTCACTGCACA